AGATACACATGATTATTATGCATCACATATTGTGTTACATATTATTATTATTATTATTATTATATATTAGAAATTAATGAATGAAAAATATTGTTGTTGTATAAAGCTGATCCTACGTTTACAAATCAAACAATTATAAAATTTACGTCACCCATCATTTATCGATTTGAAAGCGGATTTTCACTCGTTCGTGGAAAACTAAAAGTTGCAAAAATCCCACGCGGACAAATGCGTGTAACACGCGGAAATGTGTAAAATAAAATGTTCACCGCAAGAACATGAATAAAAAGAAATTTCCATCCAGCGTTGTATTTCTTCAGTTGTATTCTTCAAAACTGAAGAAACGCATGCGAATCCGCACACTATTTATCACAGCCTATCCCCTTCAAACTCCCATCCCGTATTACATTCGGAAGATAACGCAGGCTCATCGAAATCTCAGTAGACCATCCACCCTTCAAACTCATCCCCCGTAGTCTCTGAACCCCGCCGTTCGTAATTACAGAGTTTCCGAGTCTCGGCTAAAATTGTTAACGAATCCTGGCGGAAGAATTAAAGACATAAATTCCCGTTATCGAGAAGAGGAGAAGCGAGAGAAAACGCTGAAACGGGGGAGCGGGTAAGGGGGAAAGAGCGAAGTAATAAAAGAATCGGTAGACGTGAGAGGCGACAAGGGCTGGAGCCGGAAAAAGAAGGACAAATAGAAAGGGAGGGTGTCTGGGAAGGGTGTTCTCGTCCGGTTGATTATTTAAATGGGTTTAATGGGTTAGGAGCAGCGTGAAGAAAGAGAGTTCTACGATGCGCAGAGTGTAACGAGTAAAGATTCGAAGAGATAAGTTTCATTGTCTTGAATGTACATTCAATCGCACGATATCGCGTTCGGCACGATACTGGTATTTGTGCGAAAAGATTTCATTCTTGACACTTGGAGTTGAAAATTACGTTGAAACGATGTACATTCTGTTTTCAAAATTTAAATTCAAACGTCGAATGTAGAATACACAGGCTGTGTCGTGTATCTGCTGCTTCTATCTAACGATATGTACATACAATGAAGTAGACTATAAAATAATCGTATTGGATTCCGACATAAATTATTTATTATTTATCATCGTTAGAAAGAACTGTGTGATTTGGCGATGTCACGTTTAATTATCGAGGGAATTTATTTTGAACGTAAAATGTTGAATATCGATAACATTAAAATTAAAAGGAAAAATTCAAAAAATGCAGATATCTTAATTATTATAGTATTTGTGCATCTTCCTCTCTCTCTCTCTCTCTCTCTCTCTCTCTCTCTCTCTCTCTCTCTCTCTCTCTCTCTCTCTCTTTCTCTCTTACTTTCTCTCTTGACTCGAAACAAGTATTTAAAGCTATAGATACCATATTGAATGAACAATTATGGTGCAATAATTCCACAACATAAAACAGTGATAGATAATAAAATAGATCATTCTAAAATACGTGGGAGATACATACGTCGGATTGACAAGGTCTTTTTACTTTTTACAAACAAATACCATCCACAGCAGCATTGAAAAATCTCAGAAACCGGCGTTATGCATCAGGGAAGTGGATACGTATCACAGACTGACGCGCGAATTTACTTTCGCGCCGCGAAATAACATAACTTTGTGTGGGAAATGCGTCAAATTGACAGAAGGGACGAACAAGGGTAAAACACGAGCGCGACACGATGGAAAAACGGGAAGAGAAAGGGGAAAAGGGCGCGACAGTCGATAAAGGGAGGTTTTATTTTCAGAGTCGGTGGTCGAGGAGGAAGAGGTAGAGGAAGTGGAAGAGGATTCGCGGCGTGCACAGACGACACACACACACACACACACAGAAGCTAGCAACGTGTAATTTGTACACGTATCGGAGAGCGTTTCCGTAATCCCCGTGAACCTGGTGAAACGTGACCCATGGGTCCGATTTTTGCGCGAGACGGTTACTCGTTCGGGGGGTGGCGGTGGCAGCCACATCGAAACCGGAATGCAAAACGCGTCACCCTCGTCCCGATACGTTCTCCGCGATGAATCGAGGTTAACCGTGTACGAGAGTGTCATCAAGATTCGCGCCCATGCAAATTAAAATGTTTTCCGAAAACGACGCAACGGTGATTTCTGCTCGTAATTCTTCCTCGCGGCAGAGACGTGTGATTGATTTTCGAATTCTATTCGGTGGATGCTCTCTGTCGTTCAATATTAAGGTTTCCAATGATTCGAAGAATTGAAAATGCGTAGGAGTACATACGTCAATCAAAGTACGACATCGATTAAATTTTTTTCACCAAATATTTGATCGAATTGAAAATCAATCAGTGTAAATCACTTATCATTGAAAGTCATTTTATTATCAAAAGATCTTCAATCGATGGAACAATTCAGTCTAATCGTTAATAAACTGCGAACTTTTGTTATAAAAGGAATTACACTTTGCGTATTTCACTTAATTTTTTTTCAATTTTGAATTTTGAATTTTTGAAAACTGAACAGGAATTTTCACCCTAGCTTAAATTATAATGTTATAATTAAATTGTCATAATTATAGTGAAAATTTTTACAAAGAGGATATATTTGAACGACACACAAATCATTTTCACTGTCTTCTGAGCAATCCTTTCCTTCAAATATTACACGGTCCTGTGTAACACATTTCGAAGCCGTATTATTTATTCCATTGTCACGAATGTTCCGAGACATTAAACGTACACGTTAATATTCAGTAATTCACAGTGTAGAATAGGGAAAAGTCCTATAATACCGATTAGCATACAGTAGCAACCAGAACTAGTTCTTGTTCGTTGCATCAGATATTAGCACTTTATTGAAATGCGCAAATAAATATCACAATTCTGCGTAACATATTCTGCACAGTCACATTATTTATTCCATCGTGCTGAATGTTCCAAGAGATTGAACGTACGTGTTGGCACTTAATGAATCGAAAGTTATCTTTTCTTTCTCAGGCTCATGTAAATGATTCTCTTCTAATATGAATAATATCTTTAATCTGTCAAATGTAATATAAAAATCTTAATTTCTCAACTGTATTGATTTAACGAGAATTGAAGAGGATTGAATTGATTAAATTTACTAGTTTAACGAGGAAGAAAGTTGGTATTGCACGAATTTTCCCCAATTTCCTACGTCTCGGTTGGTATCTCGGTGCTTCACTCAACCGACATACTTAATATCGAAAATTCCCAAAGCGTATCCACTTTACAGAGCATCGAGTCAACATTAAACTGAACCGCTTAAATTCGTCCATTGCTCTACAGGAAGTGGTAAAAGTAGTTCCCGCCTAACCGAGCAGACAGAACGGAAACAACCTCTTCGCAGCCACTAGACTTCACCCCAATGAGATCTTTAATCGCCAAGCTGTTTCCGTTCCACTCGAAATAGAAAGCCACTTGTTATTTTTTACATCCTTATTACCTCGTTTTCTCGTATCGAATCGACACGGTTAATTAAAAGTATCGCGATATAATTGGCTGACAGAGTGTTAAATATTGATATAAATAAAGTATCGCCTAACTAACACAATTAAATACAAATATCGCGATACAATTGACCAACATACAATTAATCATTTAATAGAAATAGGTGTAAAATAGAAATACGCGTTATTAAGTTATACAAATATATTCGATACGTGAATTTTTAGTGGAGTTATTGAATTTCGAATAAGTTAACAAAAAATTTTCAGTTATATTACCTAAATACCTAGTTAAATGTCGAGCTAAAACTCTTCCTATCCTCCCCCTCATTTCCAATTCCCACTAAAAAGTATTTCAATCACACTAAACACACTCGATCCACGTATCCTTCCGCCACGATTACATTTCAAAACACGAGTTCCCTCGTCGTATTACATCAATCCCTAGTTAGGATGCGCGAACGTACTACCGATTCATTGGCAATCGCACGCGTTTACCTAGGATCCCGTGTTTTTCCTCTATTTCACACGTAGTCGCACCAGGGCGCAGCTCACCCTTCCGCCGCCAGCTCGTAGGCATTCGTTTCCCTTCGCGTAACAATTACACGCCAATTGGGTCTGCAGCATCGGGTCCTCACCCCGAAATTCAATCCTTTTTCACCCTTCAGTACGCATTCGGTACACGCGCCATATGTACACACACGACAAAAGCAAGAGGGAAGAACTGGTGAGGGAAGAATTGACCCATTAAGAACCAACGTCGCGTTAACGCGCATATTTTACATTCTTTCAATTAATTTACAACATTAATCGTTTAACGGACAACGTCGCAACAGATGTCGCAGCAAAATCTGCGTGAAACAATTTGGTTAACGTGATTGTAATACGCGATTTCAATATTTCAGTCGTCTTGCGTGTAACGTCCAAAATTAAATTTATTTATCAACGTGTTCCTGTTTTGTCATTTTTTTTTTTTTTTTCTTTTTTCTTGGCGTTCCGCGGACTTCAATTTCTCGAAACATAATTATCAAGGTAGATCCCATCTTTTAATTAGGGGAAAGAATTCTATTTTCGATTAAAGGGAAATTCGAGAGATTTGATTAATACGTTTTTCACTTGGAGTGCGTGATTTTATGAAATTTAAAGAACCCAAAGAAAGTACGTATTTACAATATCACGATAAATGCACTAAGGACCAACGTTACGTTGGCGCAACATTTTACATGCAATTTTCTTTCAACATCAGAATTACCAGCGTACAAAATAGACCAAAGGAAATGGAAGAATATTCTCAGATCTGTCATAAATATTATATCTCAGATTTGTATCTCAATTCTATCCCTACCACGGAAAACTAAAATATTCAGTAAAAGAAAAAAATCTGTCTCCAGAAATGTCGAGTCGAGTCTGACGCTGCCGCTGTTACACCGCGCTACTAACGTCGAAAAAATATCGAGAATTGAAAGAGGCTGTAACAGTCGTCCGAGGATACCGTATAGTATACGTATATGGCAATTAACGTGGATGTATGTGCAGAATTGCTTGGCCACCAGGTGACTTACCGCGAATGCAGGGCGCAGCCACGCTGCACTGTGGCGAAACTGGAGGTGGGTGGCGGAGGCGGAGTGCAGTATACCGGTGGCAACGGTGGATCATGTCTATGGAGATGATTGTGCCGGTGGCTGTGAGAGTAGCTCAGGGAACCTCGCAGGCTGCCAGGTAGATGGCGATGCGGCGTTGTCTGATCACTGAAATTTCAATAAGAAATTGTTTATTATTAAATAAATTTATTACGAACGGTCGAGGTTGAATTTAATGACAAACAAGACTAATTATATGTATCTTACAACGTTCGCTGTCTCGCGCATCGTAGACTGCGGATTCGTATGAAGTTGCACATGATATACATAATACGAAAAAATACATGAAATATGGAAAACACTGTGCTCTGCTGCGTGAAACAATTTTCTATCGAACTTTTTATTTTCCTTGTTATATTGTCAAAAATATTTGCATAAAAACGCGCAGTCTAATATTGTGCGATGCACGGTGTTGATTTGTGCCACATTTTTTGATAGAGTATTCTTCGATAGGAGTACGACCAGTGTTGAAAGAACTTTCTTGTCAAATGAGAATATCATAACTTTGAAAAATCATATTTATTTACTGCAAGTTAAAATCTGAACAGTAAATGTGTGTTAATATAATATTATTGTAATATTACGATAATATTGTACAAATCAGAAGTAAGATTCTTGTAAAAATAATCTAGTTTTATTCTAAGATAATATCAAAGATTTTATTCATTCATTTATTTATTTTATGGGATAAAGCCCTTGATATAACTGATTGGCATGATATATTCGGATATAACGAATAATCATTCTTTTTTTTTAAATTTTCGCTCATGTTCGCGGTAAGAAGGATCTTTGTCGTGTCGATAATGACTCACTCTACTGTATTCATTACTGGAAAGTATATCTACTACAGTAAATGTCGCTTTCTACAGAGAAATTTCGTCTACCTCCTGCAGGTAAGGTAGAAAGCTGCAAAGAAACTGATAAATTCAGATTGATAAGATAGAAGGAGAAAGTAATCCTTATGTTACATATAAAAATCAAACCTGTTCGAAACCCATTCGTATATCTTTGAAAATAATCTTTATCCGTCGTTATAAATTCGAAAATATTTACAAATCTTATCAGAGATAATACATGCTGCGACTGAAGAGTCGTGATAGCGTCTTATTTAAACTATACTAAATTTAAAATTTATCATCGATGTATTCGGCTTTTCTATTTCGAAGATTGATCAACCTCTAATTATCCTGAATGATATATACCATCGTAATACGAAACACATCGTCATTTATAATTTTAATCAATACATGCATTAGTACAAATAAAATGTTGAAAATTTTTATGTTCCTTTCATTCTTTTATAATGGAATTTTCTTCTAGAAATATGTACGTGCATATTTTTTTTTTTTTTTTTTGTACAACTGTAAAGACGACTGGACAAAATTATAATGAAATGGCGAGGTATTTTATTTTTTCGTCGTCCTATGCTCATTGTTACCGAAGAAGTGGTAGTTTTTTTCATGACGACTGTATTCTTTGAACAACTATCAAAGGGTTGAATGTTTGAAATTTGCAAATGTAAATGTAATCTTCAATGACTAATTGCACTGCGTGTAAAAAAGTATTATTATCGACTCTTTTGTCAATTTCAAATGAATCTGTCGGACTTCACACCTGGCAAATAATTACGCACAAAGGAACTCTAGGTTACATCCGGTTGCGGCACAGTAACCCACCTGCAGTCCCCTTTTAACGGGGGAATTCCCACGAAACAACGTTGCAGATAACGTGCGAAGATCCGAACGAAAACATACGAACGTACAACAATTAAGCACACGCCACCATCTTGTCGATTCCACGAAAATCTTATCTTGACACGCGCGAAATAGCAAAATAATAAAAAATAATAACTGAACACACACTGTTTCTTTCGCGGTGACGCTTTGTCGTAGAAACAACGAACGAATACTTCATCGCGAATTGTCAAACAATTTTAATTGAAGCCAGAGCGATACGAAGCAAGCAACGAAGCAAGCTTTCCTTAACTTTCCATTTTTACCATTTCCCATTTTCGTGCTTCCGCCCTACGTTCGCCGCCGCGACGTGAAACTAATTTCAAATAACGTGCGACGCGTTATCTGAATCTCGATTCCGCGATTATCTGTGCATTGTACCAGTGATGCAATCTCCACACAGCACACACAACACAAACGCGCTGCTACAATATTTGCACAATGGCGCAAACCTCGCGCCATGCGCGTTCTAATGAATTACAGTTTTGTTCTCGTCTTCAAACGTTGTTAACGTTGCACGACGACGCACGATCGACGCGTTCGATGATCGATTTCTACGTCTTTGACTTTTCTATCTGCGAGAATAGCGAATGATGATAATTTCTATGTGTATAACTGGCTATACTTCTGAGAAACTTGGGATTTTATTTTATTGCGAAACGAAATTGAAGCACATTTATACGTGAAATTCTGATTATGAAAATGTCAGATATTGAAGTTCAAAGATGTAAAGGATTGGAAAACACAGGTAATCGGAAATTAAATTTCGCTCTAATCAATCAACGCTGGATCACTTTGATCCAACGTAACACGATATAAAATGAGATAATATAATATAATATAAAGTAACATGATATAATTAAATAATACTTCTATCTGTATATTAGTAATCATTGTTAGACAATGTATATGTAATATCTAAAAGCCAATTTCAAAACATATACGATAAGAAATTTGATATATATTATCATTGTTAGACAATGTATATGTATCTAAAAGCCAATTTCAAAACATATACGATAAGAAATTTGATACAAATTCCCCAAATTCGATACTAGAAACCATGAAAATTTCCTATTTTACATTACCTAATTGTAAAATTTTTAACATAACTTAATTCTATTACTGATCTTTGAACAGAGAAAATAGAGAAATGCGCTTCAATTTTCTTTCTATACATAGTACAAATTATAATCTCGCAACACCACTTAAGCGATCAAAAGGGACTAAAGAAACAAAGGTTCGAACATAATTTCACTTTGCAAATTTCCATAAATACGCCCCGTTATACGCGTACAACGAGCCGGCACGAATATGTTAACAGTGAACGTGAAATATACAGCTACGATAAAAGAACGAATTAGATAGTGTTACGCTATCATAGTACGCGGTCCGCGGTATTCTACCGTTTCGATTCGAGCGGGCAAACGATTTTATCTACCGTCTCCCGTGGAAAGCAGTGTGAGACCGGAAACGTGGAAAGGGCTCGATGAGGCCTCCTTCGCAACGGTTGCGCTCTTATCTAGCGTCAAACATTTTAACGACGCGATATCGTGTCGACGGAAGATAAAAAAAAAAAAAAAAAAAAGAACGCGGGGAGCACATAGAAAGTCGGCAAAAGAGTTGTTAAAGGGGAGCTACATCTGGCTGATGTAGCCGCAAAGTGGCAGCCAGTATCGCATCCATAATTCACGCACACTATCGTACGTAAATAACTGGACGAATAATCCATCCATAGAAATTCCGAGGCACACCACGGCGTGCGCTTGTTTTTCTCAGAGGAACGAAAGTGGAATGAATCACGAATTTACTCGAGTCGATTTTCAACGATAAAATAACTCGCATAAAAATGAAAGTGGCGAACCTGTATACTCGGGAGGATGTAATTGCTAAAGTCGTCCTCGAGCGTGTGTGTAGTTGCACATGTCGCGGAAACCTAGATCCCTAAGCGAATAAATTACGCTTAAGCTCAACTTAAGGAAAATCCTTGAAGGAAAAAGCTCGAAGGCCCTCTGTTTCAATTAAGGGCGAAACACGTGCATAATGTTTAACCGGGTGAAACACTTCGCCCATTTTACACGGTTTTCCATTTGTGCGCGAGTCTCTGATTAAGAGATTTCCATCCGGTCGAAATTTATGTAACCAATAAAGAATTCACGTAACACCGTGTAACGGTGTAACGCTGTAACATGTAAAATTTATTAAGTTACGAAATTGTTTTCTTGACGATCGATCACTTAATTTGACCCGAGGGAAGGGAAACAAACGAAACGTACCGACGAAATTCTATCGGTACAAAGATTTAACGTGATTTAGAGCCATCGATTTTAGGCGATTTATTGAATAAAAAATTATTGTAGGCGTATTGGTGCATGTGTGATTTTCGTACAGTGATCTTAATTATTATTAAAATGATTGCAGTACGTCACTTTTAGTGGTTTAACATTATTTGCATTCATCTGCGAGAGAAGAGAACTGTGTATTTTATGTAACTATCTATGTAACATCATACCTAATATTACACTGTTATTTTATCTCTCAGATGAATGCTAGGGAAACCTACAATAATTTGAATAACGAATAATCGTATTCTGAACGTGAGTACTCTTTTAGTACAACTTTGATACAACTTTCGAAGGACAGCATCGGCAAGATGTTTCATTTTAACAACCACTGATCGAACTGTTAACACTTGCACAAAATTCCCTTGGAACTGGTAACTGGAAGTCGCTGTCCCCTCTAAGTAAACATGCTCTGACCATTACGCAAACTACGAAACACTTGTCTCGAGTGTTATCAACAGAGGTTACACGAAGAAACTTTCGTCGCCGACGTACAAAACTAATCGAAGATTAATTGAAATTATTACTCGTCTAACTGCATCTGAAGCTCTTTAGTATCTCGCAATTTTAGAACTGTGTTATAGAAACGTAGTTCAATTTTGTAGAATACGTATATACATTATAGATTATAGTAGGAACAGAACGTGTAAAAATCGTCGTGTACATACTTGAGTTTATTTGAGGACGAAACTTGGCAAGATATACAGTGAGTCATAGAAGATTTCTCCTGTTTGCTAACACTGATTCATATATTTTCATAGTACAAGTTTGAAAATTCAAAAGCGTGTTAAAATACAGATAAAAAGCCAAGATGTCGGCTAAAGATATTCGAGCCAATATATCGACATTTGAATATTAAATGCTTGTACAATTGAGAGCTTCTGTTTGTTTAAAAAAGCACATCTTATTCATAATTATGTCGTCTCTTTTAAAGTAATCCTAATTAGTTGAAGGATATTTGTGTGAATATCTTTTCCAATCTTCACGATTTTTCTCTGATCTCGTGATATAGCCTTCAACTCGATTTTTATTT